CCGGTCGCGAAAACAAAACTGAAGAGCACGCGCCAAGAAGTGTGGGCAGGAGTTGGGCTCGCAATTGGTTGCGATCGCAATTAATTGCGATCGCAACCAATGTTAAGAAAAGTGAGTGGGCTTGGGCAGGACACGTCGCGGCTGGACTGCGGTGGTTACACGGCGCATGCGGCTGGCTCTCAAGCCCTCCTCGTGCAGAGTCCTGGGTCTAGACGCCATCGGGAGAAAAAAAAAAACACCGGCTCGAAAGTCCTCCCGCTAAAGAGTCCTGGTCGAGAGTGCTGGGTCCCCTCTGGAGGAAAGTACCAAGTCTCCAGCCACTAGGCGACCTCTAGAAAATACAGTAGACTCTCGATTATCCGTGCTAATGACGGGGAGGATTACCGCAGATAATTCAAAATTGCAGAAAATCCAAATATAACCATCTTACGCAGATCTCTATTCCAAAAACCACTAATATAGGTATAAATTAAGAACCAATCCCAACGATCTAAAGCGCGTGCTCAATGATAACACGTTCCTGCTCCTGTGCAGAAGACTCTGCCCACTAAGTGGATAGCCGAGCCACGCCAATCAAAATCCATCAAACTCCGCCCACTGTTGTAAAGATATGCAACTACTATACTAGTTACAAATAAAATAAAATAAAGCAAATCACGACGTTTCGATCGCAACACAAGCGGTCGTCATCAGGCAACTACTATACTGTAGAGGCGATCACGTGCATTTCGGATTAACCGGAACATAAATTTGCTCAGTTTCAGCACGTGAATTGTGTTAAACATTTCCCAAGTATAACAATGTATAACTGTTTTTATAGATTATTAATTTGGGCTGAAGGGAAAGTCCATGAGTTTTTCATTTACGTCAAAATCTCAGGTGCGCAGTTACTCCGCAAATCAGATGAATCGCACGCGGATAATCGAGGGTCGACTGCGCATGGAGGTGACTTTGCAAGGCCACGGAAACAGCAGAGGGCATCACCTGCGGCTCGCTAGACGCCCCGGCCTTGAGCCCCCTTTCTGCTGCAGTTATCAGGCCCTGCTGCTGCTGCTGCTGGTGCTGCTGATGACGCCCCGCTTCGCTCCCCGCCGTCTTGAGCGCCACCCCGACCGGCTTCTCTCTACAAGAGCGGCAGACGTGACAAGGGGCCAGGGACAGGCATGGATACGGCAGAGTTTCCGCGTAAACATACAGATATCCGTTTCCGTAGCCAACACTACAAAAACACAGTGAGCCCATTGAGTTTTGCATCTTAGCCCTTTTCCCGTTCCGGTGACGTACGTGTACGTCATCAGTTCTTTAACCCTTTCGCGATTCAAAGAAAGGTTTAATGAGCTGGTTAGCGAGTACTTCATTGGAACGGACTCAGAAGAAAAACTAAAGTAAAATAACCTTATCAGTACCGAGGCTCCCGCAAGGCCATGCGGGAGGACGTGTGGCATGGTTTGCCGCCGGCTATCGTAGTGTGCGGCGGTCGTGCCGCCTCAGTTATCTGCGGTGAGTAACAATGTCTTTAGAAAACAATGGCGCTACTACGCCCCCCCCCAAATAAAATTAACGCCAAACCGCTTTGCGCGTTCCGAGATTCAGCAGCGGTGAACGGGGGACCCCGACCCACCCTTGCAACTTGCAGACGTTTCAGAACGGGACAGGGTTAATGAGCTGGTTACGTTTTTGGGGCACGGCCCTTCACAACCCAAAATATCCCCGAGCATCCCGAGGATGCTCGATGCAGCTTCAAGCGGAACGTCGCATACCCGGCTGCTAAATCTGACACTGCGCACGACGGGGTCGTGTGTGAGCAGCCACCGCCCCGGTGTGAATGTTTACATGTCACTCACTTCAGGCCCAAGTCATCCTAGGGGAGGCCCAGCGCCGGACTGGTTCAGGCATTCGTCACGGATGTTGGCCCAGAGCGGGGGATTGAACCCAGGTGACCGGGTTCATTGCACAACGCGGTAAACCACTGGTGCACAAGCACATCTCTCGGCTATGAAGAAGGGCCATTCCCAGAAACAAAATATTATTTATATATATTTTATCGTTCAGTGTCTCGCTGTCATTGCTGGACGGTTTGAGCTGTTGCTTCAAGTTGGCAGGGTCACTCACCTCCGCCTCCCCCTGGAAGCCTCGCGAGACCTCCACTCCACGTCCAGCACCCCCTCCTGGAGCTCCACGGTGAGACCTCCTGCCTCCTCCCCCTGCTCCTCCAGCCGCTGGGCCCTCGTTTCTGCCTGGCGGAGCTCCGCGGTGAGCCGCGCCACCTCCGCCTCGTGGCAGCTCAGTAGCTCGGCGACGGCCAGCTCCCGCTCATGCTCCAGCAGCGCTGCCAGGCCGTGCAGGCTCGCCTCCCGCTCCGCGGCCCTGTCGGCGAGCTCCGCTTGCAGCTCGTGCCGTCTCTCAGTCTCGTCGGCGAGCGCCGTCACCAGCTCGCGGTGCGCTTTGACCTCGTGAGCGAGGTCTGCCTCCAAAAGAATTCTCCTGTTGGTCTCCTGGGCGAGGCCTACCGCCAGGCCGCGCGACCTCTCGGCCTCCTGGGTGAGCTCCGTCTCCAGGCTCACTCTCGTCTCGGCCTCCTGAACGAGCTCCGCCTCCAGGTTACGTCTTCTTTCCGTCTCCCGGGCAAGCTCCACCATTAGGCCCGTCCTCTTCTGCGCTTCCTCAGCGAGCTTCGTGTCAAGAGCTTTGCGACTCTCGGCCTCCTGGATGAACTCCATTTCCAGGTGTTCTCGCCTCTTGGTCTCCTTACTGAGCATCGTTTCCAGGGTCTGGCTTCTCTCGGTCTCCTGGGTGAGCTCTGCTGTCAAGCCTTGGCGCCTGTCGGTCTCCTCGGCAAGCTGCGCTTCCAGGCCCACTGTTTTCTTGGATTCATCAGAGAGCTTCGTCTCAAGCGCTCGGCGCTTTTGAGCCTCTAGGGCAAGCTCCGTCTCCAGGCCTACTCGCCTCTCAGCCTCCTGGACAAGCTCTGTCTCCAGGCCAACTCTCCTCTCGGCCTCCCGAGCGAGCTCCTTCTCCAGGCTCATTCTCTTCCCAGCATCCTCGGAAAGCTCCGTCTCCAGGCCTACTCGCCTCTCAGCCTCCTGGACAAGTTCCGTCTCCAAGCCTACCCTCCTCTCGGCCTCCTGGGCAAGCTCTGATTCCAGAAAATGCCTCCTTTCACTCTCCAACACGAGCTCCTTCTCCAGGCTCACTCTCTTCTCAGCTTCCTGAGTGAGCTCCGTCTCCCAGCCCACCCTCCTCCCAGTCTCCTGGACGAGGTCAGTCTCCAAGCTCATTCTCCTCTCGGTCTCCCGAGCGAGCTCTTTCTCCAGGCCTACTCTCCTCTCGGTCTCCTGAGTGAGCTCCGCTGCCAGCCCACGGTGCTTCTTGGCCTCCTGGGTAAGCTCTACTTCCAGGCTCAGTTTCCTCTCAGCCTGCTGAGCGAGCAGCACCTGCTGACTGTTCCTCCTCTGTGCCTCCTGGGCAAGCTCCACCCTCAGGCCTTGACACCTCTCGGCCCCCTCGGCGAGCTCCGTCTCCAGATCGCTTCTCCTCTCGGCCTCCTGGGCGAGCTGCACCTCGAGCCCTCGAACCCTCTCAGCCTCACAGGTGAGCTCCGCATCCAACCCACACCCCCTCACCTCCTCCTGCTCTTCTCGTTGTTGCTGCTGTAGTTGAGCCAGATGATGCGAGGGGTCAACGAGAGGTCGCCTCTCCACGCCGTTAGCGCTCGTGCTGTCTGCAAATGAATCATTTGGCGGGACCCCGGGGGTCCCGCAAAAATCAGGTCAATAATTATCATTTTTCAGTCCGCTCGCCAACAAGTACTTTTCGATCCCCGCCGATGGCCTCGACTACTACCCAGCCATCCCGCCCAATCTCGTCGCCGAGTTGGACGACGACAGCAACGCGCCGCCCGCCCAGACTCGCCGCGCCAACAACAAGCGCCAGCAGGCGGCGATGGACACGATGGGCGCCACCCCACCGGCCAAACGCAAGCCCCGGGGGGCGTCCGCTGCAGTCGCGCGCGGCGACGACGCCCTCCGGTCAGCCGTCGATCCTCAGCTTCTTTGCCAAGGCGAGCCCGCCCCCCCCCCCCCAGCCAGTGAATTTAACGTGTTTATGTAATTTTTCAACTTTTTACGAAACTTAGTGTCCCCGAGTAGCTCTCGACGAGGCCAATCGATTGACCACTAGAGTTTTGTTGTTGTCGGTAAGGCAACCAGACTCATGTCGCTACGCGGGTTGTCCAACCCCGGGGCAGTGATGGGACCCCGGGGTCCCGCCAGTTGCTTCAAATTTCAATTATTCAACAACAACAAGGAGGAGGAATCATGCCAACGCGTGGAGTCTGCAATTCAATTTCCCCGGGAAGTTAAACTCATTTAAAATATTTTTAATTTTCCCAGGTAAGGCCCACTGAGCTATATAGCTCTTTTTCACACGCGACCTCTACGCTGCCATTCCGTCACCAGTGTCACCCCATCGTCCGTCGCCAAAGTGCATAATTATTGCACTTGACGCGTAGGCTTTCACGACCAATATCGTTCACAATAAAGCGTTTTTGGGGTTAGATCGCGTAAATGTAACTGTGTCCTGCACCCACCGCCACCCTCCGATTTGCACGGTTGGCTACGTATGGTGCGAAATAATTTCAACTTACATAGGATGCCATGTAAGTGCTAATGGGCTATATAGCTCTTTTTCAGAAGCGACCCAGTCAAAAAAATAGCTCAACGAAGTGGCTTATCATGTGGAAATGCATAGCAGCCTAATAATCTAAACGCACGTTTCTAAATGTGGAAAACCGGAGGATCCGGGGACAAATCCCCACGACTACGGGGAGAACATGCAAACTCCAAATATAGAGGGGGTAGGGTCGGGATGGAACCGACGACCTCCTGTAAACCAGGCGAGGTAGTTAACATCTCGCCACCGCGGCACCCCTAGTATTTAATGAGCGAAAATAACGATGGGGACGTAGCCGCAGTGTGATGGTTAACGCACTGGGCCTCAGTCCAAAGACCGCCGGTTCGAGTCCATCTACCAGCGCGCGTCCTCCGAACTGACGGTGCGAGTCTCTAAACTCCGCCCGGCAGTATAAGCGGGCACACACTACGATCGTTCGATCGGCAGCTCGCGTGGGGGTGGTGGAAAGCGTGCGTACTTCCACATATTCAAAGACGCCTGGCCAGCTATGGGGGCGGCACTCTGCCAAGCTCCATCGGGTGGAGTCCGTTCCCACCGGAAGTGGATGTGAGCGGGCAACTGCTGCCGGGCTACACTCTTATCGCAACCACTACCACCCCCCCTTTGCGAGGAGGGGCAATGGCCAAAGCTCCAATCGCCAAGCGATGCCGAAATTTAATGTTAAGCAACACCAGCCATGATCAATCCACCGCCAGATGCGACAGAACCTTCTCCCTCTTCTTTCTCCTTCTAAAAGTCTCCCCGACGTTCATCCCGACTTGCGCTAACGGCGTCGCCGCGGGACGAAGAATCCCTCCCCTGGGGGCTACAGGTACTCTGAGGCCCCCCAGTGATATTTTCAAAAGGAAAGCAAAGTTCAAGAAAAAGAACAATGTATTTTTACAAGGCTAACAGCAAATAAAATTCAGCATTCAGAAACGAAATAACTTTTCACTTCATCTCTGGAGGCCCTCCAGCTGACGGAGGCCCCTGGGCTGCCGCCCCTGAAGCGTCCATGCTTGAATCCGGCCCTGGGTTGCGACTCCCTTTCGGTGTCACAGAACGGAACACACGGAAGAGCTGCACAAACTGCCCCTCCACATTAAGCGGTCCCCTTCGCTCACTAGTTCGCGCTCCTCACTCAAAACTCACTTATTGTTAGCACCTAGCTCACCCCACGACCACCCTTAATCTTCCCCTCACTGTTCCCTCTTCCCATTCTCATCACGTGGACATCACTCATTAACCCCAATCACTCAATCCAATCATCATCATTTACCGTCATCCATTTCGCTTTCACCGAATTCACGCATCACAGGTTTCGCCCATTGCTTCCTCTCATCTACCTCATTCACCTCATCTCCGCCATTACATGCATGTGTACCGTTGTTGATTCTTTAAGTGACACTCTGCTCCACACAAAACGGTCTACAGAAGCGAATATCACAGAGCTACCTCCGAGATCCCTTCTTCAAGGGACCTCTAAGTCCGTACACAGCAAAGGGGAACCCATTCCTATCGACCCACTCTGCATATGAGAGGAACGTTCATGGCACGGCAGCCAAACGGACACACCTGTAATTCTCAAGAGCTGTCATTTATCCAGATCGAAAGCGGCGGACCATACTTTTTTTTTTTAACACTTGACGGGCATTTTTTTTTTTTCATGGTGCATCCATCGCGCTGACCTGAGTTCGACTCCTGGTGTGCCGGCAGGGCCTCCTCCAGGCGCCGGCGGGCGTCGGCGAGCAGGCCGGCGAGCTGGCGCCCGTCGCTGCGCACCTGCTCTCCGAGCCCGGCCAGCTCCCGGCGCACTCCGGCCGTCGATGCCCGCAGCGCGGTGAACGCCGCCGCGCACCCTCGGCCTGCAGAGGTGGGCACGGCGCCAGCGCGTCAATGACAGCAATAACGACGTTCGTCGCCGCTCAACGCCGCCGCCTTTGTCGCCGCTCGCGCCGACCGAGACTCGCAATCGCCGAGTTAACCAACGGGGTGCCACGGTGGCCAGGAGATGTTGACTACCTCGCCCGGTGTACAGGAAGTCGTGGGTTCGATCCCGACCCTGACGCCTGCGGCTGTATATTTGGAGTTTGCGTGTCTCTCTCTCTCTCTCTCCCCGTGGTCGCGTGGATTTTTCTCCGGGTCCTCCGGTTTTTCCCTCCACGTTTAGAATCAACGTCACACGTTTAGAGCATTTGGCTGCTATATAAATTTCCACGTGATGAGCCGCTTCGTCATTTATGACGGCCAGGTCACTTCTGAAGAAGCGTGATACAGCTCAGTGGGCCTGAGCTGGTAAAATAAAAAAAAGTTTTAGCTTAGTTTAAAAGCTGGAGGTCAGCGGGAGCCAAGCGGCCGTGAAGAACCGGCGCTAACCAACAATTGCCCGAGCTTTGTGGTCCTCAGGATATGAATATACATACATGTGATTTCAGACAATGAATGAGTTGTTTATGCATGTGTAAGGAAGCCAGAGCACCCGGATGAAAAACCACAAGTGCGAAGGGGCAACACTCTATCCCAGGGGTCGGAAACCTGCTGCTCCGGAGCCGCACGCGGCTCTTTGGCTGCCCCCTAGCGGGTCTTTGGCTGCCCCTAGCGGATCTTTGGCTACCCCTAGCGGGTCTTTGGCTACCCCTAGCGGCTCTTTGGCTACCCCTAGTGGGTCTTTGGCTACCCCTAGCGGCTCTTTGGCTACCCCCTAGCGGGTCTTTGGCTACCCCTAGCGGGTCTTTGGCTGCCCCAAACGGGTCTTTGGCTACCCCTAGTGGGTCTTTGGCTACCCCTAGCGGCTCTTTGGCTGCCCCTAGCGGATCTTTGGCTGCCCCTAGCGACTCTTTGGCTACCCCCTAGCGGCTCTTTGGCTGCCCCTAGCGACTCTTTGGCTGCCCCCGAGCGGGTCTTTGGCCACCCCTAGCGACTCTTTGGCTACCCCCTAGCGGCTCTTTGGCTGCCCCTAGCGGCTCTTTGGTTGCCCCTAGCGGCTCTTTGGCTGCCCCTAGCGGCTTTTTGGCTGCCCCCCTAGCGCCTCTTTGGCTGCCCCTAGCGGCACTTTGGCTACCCCCTAGCGGCTCTTTGGCTGCCCCTAGCGGCTCTTTGGCTACCCCCTAGCGCCTCTTTGGCTACCCCCTAGCGGCTCTTTGGCTACCCCCTAGCGGGTCTTTGGCTGCCCCTAGCGCCTCTTTGGCTGCCCCCTAGCAGCTCTTTGGCTACCCCTAGCGGCTCTTTGGCTGCCCCTAGCGGCTCTTTGGCTGCCCCTAGCGACTCTTTGGCTACCCCCTAGCGGCTCTTTGGCTGCCCCTAGCGGCTCTTTGGTTGCCCCTAGCGGCTCTTTGGCTGCCCCTAGCGGCTCTTTGGCTGCCCCCCTAGCGCCTCTTTGGCTGCCCCTAGCGGCTCTTTGGCTACCCCCTAGCGCCTCTTTGGCTGCCCCTAGCGGCTCTTTGGCTGCCCCTAGCGGCTCTTTGGCTACCCCCTAGCGGCTCTTTGGCTGCCCCTAGCGGCTCTTTGGTTGCCCCTAGCGGCTCTTTGGCTGCCCCTAGCGGCTCTTTGGCTGCCCCCCTAGCGCCTCTTTGGCTGCCCCTAGCGGCTCTTTGGCTACCCCCTAGCGCCTCTTTGGCTACCCCCTAGCGGCTCTTTGGCTACCCCCTAGCGGGTCTTTGGCTGCCCCTAGCGCCTCTTTGGCTGCCCCCTAGCAGCTCTTTGGCTACCCCTAGCGGCTCTTTGGCTGCCCCTAGCGGCTCTTTGGCTGCCCCTAGCAGCTCTTTGGCTACCCCCTAGCGGCTCTTTGGCTGCCCCCTAGCGGCTCTTTGGCTACCCCCTAGCGGCTCTTTGGCTACCCCTAGCGGCTCTTTGGCTGCCCCTAGCGGATCTTTGGCTGCCCCTAGCGGCTCTTTGGCTACCCCTAGCGGCTCTTTGGCTACCCCTAGCGGATCTTTGGCTACCCCTAGCGGCTCTTTGGCTACCCCTAGCGGATCTTTGGCTGCCCCTAGCGGGTCTTTGGCTGCCCCTAGCGGGTCTTTGGCTGCCCCTTGCGGCTCTTTGGCTACCCCCTAGCGGCTCTTTGGCTACCCCTAGCGGCTCTTTGGCTGCCCCTAGCGGATCTTTGGCTGCCCCTAGCGGCTCTTTGGCTACCCCTAGCGGCTCTTTGGCTGTGGTGACATCACCGTCACTTGGTGACGAATGGCAGGTATTGGTATCATCTTCAGTGGGGAGCGGTAGTGTAGCGGTTAGCGCGCTGCTGTGCTACGAACCTGGCGACCCGAGTTCGATTCCTGCTCACGGCCAATACCAGTGACAATTATCTGAACCGGTCATGGGCCCCCCCCCCTCCCCATGGTCGACTTGGCCTCAAATGAGTACCTGGTGCGGTGTGTACATATCGCCACTAGGGAGACAAAGGCGGCCGGGCATGGTGCTGTCCACCCAACCCCTCATGTGCCGTGCTGGCCTTCGTAGGTGCTTTGTCTTTGCATCATCTTTATAACTGACATCATTATCACGACTGCGTATGTGTGTGTATGAGTTTGACTGTGAGCCTCCGACACTTCATGCGGAGTTCACTTAGCCTGGCACAAGCGCTGTGGTGACGTCACCGCCACTCAGTGGTGAATGGCGACTGTTGTTGTTGTGTTTATCTGGTAGCAGGGTGGCACAGTGGAAACCGCTCGTGCCTAAAAGCGAGAATGGACCTCAGTTCGATTCCCGACTAGGGCAACTTTCCGCGTGGGGATTGTTTGTTCTACCCCTGTTTTGTGTGGGGTTTTCCTCAGTTTATAGTTTCATCTCCAGAGCTAAATAAACCATGACATGTAAACGGAATTTTGACCAAACCTGCCAATGCTGGGAAATTCCACTGCAAAATCACTCAAATGGGATTGCACATCAGCAGAAGCAGCAGCAGCAGCGGCTACATTCCCCCACCAGCTACTGCCAAAACACTTGGGAGGACCCTCTTTGAGACTCTGGGCAAGCTTTCCTGGGTAAACAAGTGTGATGATAATAATAATAATCAGAAAAGATCTACACACGAACGAGTAGACGCACCTCGAGCAACGCAGGTCCTCGAGCGAACGTCGGACCGAGTCGACGGCGACGACCAAGAGTCGGGGCGAGGCGAGGACAAACGCGAATCGCCCGTCGCTCCATCGCCGCCATCGCCACCGCCATCGTCATCGCCATCGCCATCGCCGCCCTCCCTCCGCATCCGTCGCTGGCTGTCGATGGCATTGATGACGGACGCGTACAGGGATTCAACCACCGCGCCCGGGCTCTGCAGGAGGCCCGCCGATCGGGGGCTGATGGCCTGGGCGGCGGCCGCGGTTGACGTCGCTGCGGTCGCCGCGGCCGCGGTCGACGCTGCGGTGGAAACCGGTGGGTGCGTCTCCGCCGCTGGGTGGTTGATCGTCTCGAAGTCGAACACCTGCCGCAAGCGACGACGACACAGGTGAGCGGGCGGGCGGGCGGGTAAGGCGGGAGAGCGCAAGACCGTGACCCTTTGGATCGGAGCTCCAATCCTGGTTAACAACACCGTAGAGACACCCGCGAGCCGGACCCACTTCTCTCAGAGCGGCCGTCAGTAGACGCTGTAACGTCGCTCGGGGGAGAATTTCAAATTTGACAAAAATGTGTGGGATCGCGCACATAGCACCCCCCCCGCCCCGCCCCCCCCCCCCCCCCATCGTGCCAAACGAACGAGCCGCGGCACAACCCGAAAACGCATGGGAGAGGAGACATACAGGAGACAGCCGGTCGACACGGAGGGGACACGGAAGAGGCAGGCATTAGACATGCAGGAGACACAGAGGAGACACGCAGGAGATATGGGGGAGACAGGGATTCAACCACCGCGCCCGAGCTCTGCAGGAGAATAGCAAGAGACGCGCAGGAGACAAGGAGACAAGAAGGAGACATGCAGGAGACGCGCAGGAGACATGCAGGAGACAGGCAGGAGACACACAAGAGACAGAAGACCAGCAGGAGACCAGCAAGAGACACGTAGAAGACAATCGATACGAGACAGAAGGAGGTCGGCGCCTACCTGCGAGTCGATGCTGTCCGGGGACAAATCCCTGTTGTCCCTCGAGAGGGGGTCCCCATCGGACCCCCCGTGGTCCCCCGCGTCCTCGCGTCCCGGGTCGCCCGTATCCCCGTGCGACGGCGGCGACAGGAGCAGGAGACTGTCGGGGCGGTCGGGAGACGCGGGGCTCCCCCCCTCCCAGCTCCCGGCCTCCCCACGGCCATCGCTCCTGCCCACCAGCTGCGGGGGCGGGCAGCACAGCGGAAAGGTTGCACAACAACAGGGTGCAATGATTGCAGGTGGCCTGGGCGAGACGAAGCTCGTGATGGCTGGGGCGGAGACGTAGAGCCGGCACTGCCGAGCTCCTGGGTTTTGGAGTCTGGACTCGTGGCCGCGATTAAACCGCCTTCGCAAGTGTGGTGATCTCAGCCTGGTCACCAATAATTCACGCAGAGACCCACAGACTCACGCAGAGACTCGCAGGCTCACACAGAGACCCACAGACTCACGCAGAGACCCACAGACTCACGCAGAGACCCACAGGCTCACACAGAGACCCACAGACTCACTCAGACCCACAGACTCACACGGAGACCCAGAGACTCACACAGAGACCCATAGACTCATACAGAGACCCAAAGACCAGAGTTTCATTGACGAACGTGCCGAGGTTTATTTTGTTATGTTTGTGTCTGTGTGTGTAGTTATTTAGTGGTCACTGGGAAGACAAAGGAGGCCAGGCGTGGTGCTAACAGCACTTGCCCCAATAGCTAGTCTGTTAAGACTACACGGTGAATGTTTGTATTTGTTATTTAGTTGTGGCACAGCAGTCAGCGCATTGCGCTATGAACCCAGCGACCCGAGTTCGATTCCCGCTCAAGGCCAACCAAAACCAGTGACGATCATCTGAAGTGGTCCTGGAACCTCCCCTAGGTCGACTCCGCCTCAAATTAAGTACCTGGTGCGGTGCATATCGTAATCGTCGCCACTGGGGAGACAAAAGTGGCCCGGGCGTGACGTTGGCAACCCACCCCCTGCTCGTGTGCGGTTGAGGTCTTCACAGGTGCTGCTCGTCGGTACTGGCACCGGCATGAGTTCCACGGTGGCGAGATGCCATCTCCCTCGCCTGGGACGCAGGGGTGCGTGGGTTCGATCCCGACCCTGACGCCTGCCTTATATTTGAAGTTTGCGTGTCTCTGTCTTTCTCGTCCCTGTGGTCGCGTGGATTTGTCTCCGAGGCCCTCTGCTTTTTCCCCTCCGCATTTAGAATGAAAGTCACGAGTTTAAGAGCATTTGGCCTGCTACAAAATTTCCACACGACGACGACGACGACGACGACGACACCTTCGTTTGAGCTATCATTCGCGATGGCCAGGTCGCTTCTGAAAAAAAGAGAGCCACGTAGCTCAGTGTGCGCGGGCCCTTACCTGGTGCAATAAAAAAAAAATAGTTTCAGTTGCCAGTTCAGTTTGGTGACGGTGTAAGGGCGACCGCGTGTGGCGTTGCGTGGCCGGGCCGCACCGTTTTGGTGGAGAGGAGCTGAGCGAGGGCGAGCGACGCGTCCTGGGCACCGCGCACGGCCCGCGCCAGCCTCCGTCCGCGTGCCGAGTGCTCCCGCAGCAGCTCGAAGTCGCACAGCGTCGGGAGCCTACGCGGCGGAAGCGGGGGTGGGAGAGAGGGGGCGACGTCCCCGGCGGAGAGAGACACCGCGTACGGAGAGAAAGATTCACCCCGTTGTTGTTGTTGTTGTTCGTGTTGTTGTTTTTACTCTCACCCTTGTTTTTTACCCAGGAGGGCATCGCCACCCAGTCTCTGACCGGCTCAGCCTGTCCCGGCCCACGCTGAGTTTGCGCCGTCTAGCAGGAAACCAGAAAGACGGAAACTGGAAACCGGATACTAGAAATCATAAACCAGAACCTGGAAATCGGAAACCGGATACCAGAAACCAGCACCTGTAAATCGGAAACCGGAAACTAGAAACCAGATAACAGAACCTGGAAATCGGAAACCGGAAACTAGATACTAGAAACCAGAACCTGGAAATCGGAAACCGGAAACTAGAAACCAGAACCTGGAAATCGGAAACATGATACTAGAAACCAGATATCCAAAAATCAGATACCATAAACCAGAACCTGGAAATCGGAAACTAGAAACCAGATACCAGTAACCTGAAACTGGAAATCGGAAACAGGATACTAGAAACCATATACCCAGAAACCTGATACCAGAAACCAGAATCTGGAAATCGGATACTAGAAACCACGTACCAGAAACCAGAACTTGGAAATCGGTAACCGGATACTTGAAACCAGATACCAGAAACCAGACCCTGGAAATCGGAAACTTGACACTAGAAACCAGATACCAGAAACCAGAATCTGGAAATCGGAAAACGGATACTTGAAACCGTAATCCAGAAACCGGATACTAGACACCAGAAATCTGAAAGCAAAAACAGGAAATCAGAAACCAGATAATGGATACCAAAAACTAGAGTACCTAGAGAAAGCTCATTACTCGTGCACATGAGAGGGTAGCTGGGGGGCAGCTTAATCTTTAGTGGGGGGGGGGGCAGCCCTCTCGAGACCCCCCCCCCCCCCAGCGCTACGTGGATACGCTGTCCATTACTCTGCAGAACATGGCAGATTGCATACCCACACACTCCACTCGCTCACTCCATCACCCTGCAGAACAGGGCGGAGAGCATACAAACTCCACTCACTCACTCCATCACCCTGCAGAACAGGACGGAGAGCATACAAACTCCACTCACTCACTCCATCACCCTGCAGAACAGGACGGAGAGCATACAAACTCCACTCACTCACTCCATCACCCTGCAGAACAGGGCGGAGAGCATACAAACTCCACTCACTCACTCCATCACCCTGCAGAACAGGACGGAGAGAATACAAACTCCACTCACTCACTCCATCACCTTGCAGAACAGAGCGAAGAGCATACAAACTCCACTCACTCACTCCATCACCCTGCAGAACAGGGCAGAGAGCATACAAACTCCACTCACTCACTCCATCACCCTGCAGAACAGGGCGGAGAGCATACAAACTCCACTCACTCACTCCATCACCCTGCAGAACAGGGCGGAGAGCATACAAACTCCACTCACTCACTCCATCACCCTGCAGAACAGGGCGGAGAGCATACAAACTCCACTCACTCACTCCATCACCTTGCAGAACAGAGCGAAGAGCATACAAACTCCACTCACTCACTCCATCACCCTGCAGAACAGGGCAGAGAGCATACAAACTCCACTCACTCACTCCATCACGCTGCAGAACAGGGCGGAGAGCATACAAACTCCACTCACTAACTCCATCACCCTGCAGAACAGGACGGAGAGCATACAAACTCCACTCGCTCACTCCATCACCCTGCAGAACAGGGCGGAGAGCATACAAACTCCACTCACTCACTCCATCACCCTGCAGAACAGGGCGGAGAGCATACAAACTCCACTCACTCACTCCATCACCCTGCAGAACAGGCCGGAGAGCATACAAACTCCGCTCACTCACTCCATCACCCTGCAGAACAGGGCGGAGAGCATACAAACTCCACTCACTCACTCCATCACCCTGCAGAACAGGGTGGAGAGCATACAAACGCCACTCACTCACTCCATCACCCTGCAGAACAGGGCGGAGAGCATACAAACTCCACTCACTCACTCCATCACCCTGCAGAACAGGGCGGAGAGCATACAAACTCCACTCACTCACTCCATCACCCTGCAGAACAGGGCGGAGAGCATACAAACTCCACTCACTCACTCCATCACCCTGCAGAACAGGGCGGAGAGCATACAAACTCCACTCACTCACTCCATCAACCCTGCAGAACAGGGCGGAGAGCACACAAACTCCACTCACTCACTCCATCACCCTGCAGAACAGGGCGGAGAGCATACAAACTCCACTCACTCACTCCATCACCCTGCAGAACAGGGCGGAGAGCATACAAACTCCACTCACTCACTCCATCACCCTGCAGAACAGGGCGGAGAGCATACAAACTCCACTCACTCACTCCATCACCCTGCAGAGCAGGGCGGAGAGCATACAAACTCCACTCACTCACTCCACCACCCTGCAGAACAGGACGGAGAGCATACAAACTCCACTCACTCACTCCATCACCCTGCAGAACAGGCCGGAGAGCATACAAACTCCACTCACTCACTCCATCACCCTGCAGAACAGAGCGGAGAGCATACAAACTCCACTCACTCACTCCATCACCCTGCAGAACAGGGCGGAGAGCATACAAACTCCACTCACTCACTCCATCACCCTGCAGAACAGGGCGGAGAGCACACAAACTCCACAGAGAGATGGCACCCGAGTTGGGCATCGAACCCAGGACTTGCTGCGAGCGTTAACCACTGCACTAAAATCGCCTCCCAGACAACACAAATGATCCGTGCTTGACGGAGCGCCCTTCACGGCAGGGCGTCTCAGAGAATATGAGGAAGCCGCTGAGGGCAATGCAATTTTAAATCATCCAGATCAGGGGTCACCAAACTACGGCCCGTGACGTCAGTCCATCAGGCCCGCCGACGGTACTTGAATTTGGTGGATGAAACGTATGGAACACGAGAGACGTCGTGATACAATTTAAATTTAAATATTATGTTTAGAATACTGGGAGATCTTCGCGCGTGCGGAGACCTCCTTACTGCTATGCGCCTTAAATTTACTATTTTAAATGTTAAATTATTGTATCTAGATTTTCTTGTTTATTGTAACGTTTGCTTATTTCACGTCATCCCAAGTCCTTCCCCGGCTCGTGGTAGCTCCGCCTATGCTCTGACGTTACCATGGTTTCCATGGCAACGTCATGGCAACACGTTACCATGGTTTCTATGGCAACACACACACACACAAATACGCATCTTTCCCGCCCCCAAGTATTGAACAGAATGTTTATGCGGCCCGCGATCGTCATTCTATCAGTTATCCGGCCCGCTGTGAAAAAAATTTGGTGACCCTTGATCTAGATTGAAAACTCAATTATTTCGAACTGCTTGTTGTTGTTGTTGTGTTTAGTTTGTTGTCCCCCCGCCCACACCTCCGATTAGCCACGGTTGGCTACGTACGGTGAGAAACAAGTTCAACACACATACATACGTAAAAATACTTTCGTTTTGATTATGCGTTGAGACGGATGTATGAAGGATCTCTATATACACGTAATGTAATAGCGCCGGCTGGTGGACAGACAGCGCACACTCTGGTGAGCGCGTGAGCACGGTGCGTGTGTGGGCAGGGCGGAGGAACTGGGGCAAGGGTCACGGAGGACCCCCGTCTGGAGGCCCCTGGAACCTGCTGCTGGCGGGTTCGAGAAGGGAGGTCGCGGGTCAGGGCGGAGCCAGGGCCGCGCCGGGAGCATAAAAGGAGCTGAGAGCGGGGGGGCTCGAGGCTGCCGGTTCTGGGAATGGACTCGTCTCGTCGCTGAACGTCTCCGCTAGACATTGCGCTACGAAGGACAGCAGTTGGCTATCTCAGTCAGCGCCGTCAGCGTTGGATGGCTGGCGCTGCGTACGGGCTAGGCCGAGCTACTGTGGAGAGTGTGCGGACGAGACCGTGAAAGTTGTTCATCAAGACAGTGCCTCCTAGAAACTCTCCGAATCGTTGATACTACACATACGTACAGAGCGTTTCACACCAGGTGTGTGTGAGAGTCTCATTGGCCAACGTGTGAACGGGGTGGGGGGGTGGGGGAGGAGGAGAATCGCTTGGCAGTGTTATTTTTGGGGGGGAGTGCGGGGTGCTCACTGCAGGTAGGGCTGCATCTCGGGGGGGCTGTGGCTCTGCAGGAAGTGAAGATCTTCGGGCGTCACCGCGGGAAGCTGCTCGTCAAACGCGCGCGGCTCACGCGTCTGGCACGCACGCACACACACACACAATGAGAGAGGTTCCCCCCGCATAGCTTTTAACAGACTGCTGGATCAAGTTGGTGTTGGCGAGTAGCACCTACGAAGAAGACCGGCACGGCCAACGAGGTGGGTGGGTGGCCAGCGCCACGCCCCGAATGCCTTTGTCTCCCCCAGTGCTGTGTTGTGTTTATGCTGTTGAAATACTTCGCACCATTCTAATAGGAGGTGCGAGGAGAATAACAACAAACTAAACACAAAAAAAGCAGTTCTAAAGAAATGAGTTTGCCAATCTAGATGATGAATTGAAAGTGCAAAGCTCCAGCGGCTTCCGAATATCTGAAGGAAGAGCGTTCCAGACGGCCGCAGAAGCGCCATCTGAAAGCGCCGCGTAATGCGGTGACCACCACCTTTGTTTGATGTCTAGCAGCCAAAAGCCGCTGCTGCTGCTGCTGCTGCTGCGAGGATGACCACCGGAGTTTGCATGATGGGTAACATTGCTCCTTGACGAGCGCCAACGTTAACACAGCGCACCAGGCGCTCGCTTACCAGGCAGCGCGGCTCTGATGCCGCGTGCCACTGATGGTGGCCGTGCGCCGAGCGTGGGTGTGGAACTCACGCAAAATGACGACGGGGGCCACGACTCGAGCCCCTGGAAGAGCCGCCCCTTGAGGAAGCTGTGGCCTGGGGAGAGAAAGCCATGTGGGGAGACGACACCACGGGGAGAGACACCGCGGGGGGAGACACCACGGGGGGAGACACCACGGGGGGAGACACCACAGGGAGACACAATGGGGAGACACAACGGGGAGACAAGGAAAGACACCATGGGGAGACACCACGGGGGGAGACACCACGGGGGGAGACACCACGGGGGGAGACACAATGGGGAGACACAATGGGGAGACAAGGAAAGACACCATGGGGAGACACCGCGGGGGGAGACACCACGGGGGGAGACACAACGGGGGGAGACACCACAGGGAGACACAATGGGGAGACACAACGGGGAGACAAGGAAAGACACCATGGGGAGACACCACGGGGGGAGACACCACGGGGGGAGACACCACGGGGGGAGACACAATGGGGAGACACAATGGGGAGACAAGGAAAGACACCATGGGGAGACACCACGGGGGGAGACACCACGGGGGGAGACACCACGGGGGGAGACACCACAGGGAGACACAACGGGGGGAGACACCACGGGGAGACAAGGAAAGACACCATGGGGAGACACCACGGGGGGAGACACCACGGGGGGAGACACCACGGGGGGAGACACAATGGGGAGACACAATGGGGAGACAAGGAAAGACACCATGGGGAGACACCACGGGGAGACAAGGGGAGGCACCACGGGAAGACGCCACAGGGAGACACCACGGGGAGACATGAGGACAGCAATGGAGACAGATGCACACACAATACGGTTACACATTGAGTGACCGTGGTGTGAAACTAGGGCTCAGATGAAGGTTCTTGTATGGGATTAGCAAGGGTTCTGTATGGGATTAGAGAACGGTTATGTCTGGGATTAGAGAAGGGTTCTGTAGGGGATGAGACGATAGTTCTGTGTCGAATGAGATGAGGGTTCTGTATCGGATCCATCGCTCACCGAAGAGCTGTCTGAACGCCACTCTCCGCTCTCTCTCAGCCTGGTAGAGCTCTTTCCCATCACGCACCAGCAAACTCGCCCACTGCTCCGTCCAGACAAAGACAAAGATCCCCCATGTAGCCTTCCCCAGACTGTTGGGGCAAGTACTGTTTGCGAGCACCTATGAAGGCCGGCACAGCACACTGGGGCGGCGGTGGCCGATTGGCAATGTTTAGACACCGCACCGGGTACTCAATTGAGATTGAGTCGACCGAAGGGTGGCCCCCCAGGACCGGTTCAAATCATCGTCACTGGTGTTGGCCGTGAGCGGGAATCAAACTCGGGGGGCCGATGTCCATAGTGCAGCGCGCTAACCGCTGCGCCGCCGCTCAACAGAGACGCACACAGAGAGACACGGGCGCACGCGCAGGCAGACATGGACGCACGAAGATCGCCACATTGATCCTCACAGTCCATCGGGGCAAGGGCTGCGAGCACGTCACGTGGGCACAGCTCATGAAGGGGTGGCGTGGCCCGATGACCAGCAAACACTACGCTGCAATTAAACCACCATCGCGCGAACTCCAGTTATCCTCACAGCCGCAGCGGCGTTTGGCTGCTAGCCATCGAACAAAGACGGTCACCGCATCGCGCACTTTCAGATGGCGCTTCTGCGGCCGTCTGGAACGCTCTTCCTTCCGATATTAGGAAGCCACTGGGAGCTACGCCACTTTTAAATCTAAATTGAAAGATCATTTATTTGAAACTGCTTTTTCTGTGTAGTTTGTTGTCCTCCGATTAGCACGGTTGGCTACGTACGTTGCAAAATTCGACATGTATACATACTCGATTAGGATTGAATAAATTTTGATTTAAAGCTTTCGTGACTGCAGGGATTCATATTCTTGGTTCTTTCGGTAAAGTCACGTAGAAGGGAAACAATAAAATAATAAATAAATAAAGATTGCTTTGCATTTTTTTTATTTTATTGTTTCCTTTCTACATGACTTTACCGAAAGAACCAAGAATAGGATTTAATACTTTAATTTTATAGAGCGTCATTCATGTTAATAGCATCCCATAATGCTGCACGTTAATTATATATAAGCGCTAAATCCCATATATAGCCACTACCAAACAAAAAAATTAAACAAATAAAAAATGGCACCAATACAAAAGGCACAAACAACAACAATAATTATAACGAACAAAGAAATCAGTCCATTCGGCCGACACATCCCAGACCACAATTTACACAGGACAATAAAACATAATTTCACCGCAGATTATCTGCTCGCTCTCGTAGAGAGAGCGCGAGAGAGTTAGTTAGTTTATTAAGTGTTTGAGGCAGGTGGCCAAGATTGAGCAAAACTTTTCACGCAGGCAACTGGAGAGCAGCACAGACTGAGTGTTTCTCAACTAACATGAGAAACCAACAGTAAACATAATTAAGAATCGGAGTCAAGAGACACACAACAGATATACTAATCTTGATTTGAAGCTTTCGTGACTGCACGTAGGTGGAAAAAATATATATATATGACGACGTTTCGATCGCAACACAAGCGGTCGTCCTCCGCCTACCTACGTGACTTTACCGAAAAAACCAAAGAGTATAAGAACAGGTATACCCTGAAAAGAAGAAGAATTAAAAAAATCTCATCAATGGTTCTCATGCTATCCGCGACACAGTGCCCAACCAGGCTGCGATAATTATACTTATCATTTCATTCAAGACACACCGAGCACCCACTGAACGCCACGAGCAAAACGTTCGCAATTTAAAAAGGAGTTCGTTGATCGCCATCAGATCTGGGTGACCCGAGGAAGGTCAAGGATCCCTTCAGAACGGCACCGGACGACATCCTTGGCTCTCAGGCGCGAGCACGGGGAGGAGAGAACCACAGGCAAGCGGGGAAGGCAGCAGCAGCGGCAGCAGCAGCCACACGGCGGGGTGGAGCTCGAGCTACAAACAACTGCCCGAGCTCTGCGCTCCTCTATGCATTAAGGCAGTGGTTCTTCTTAACCTGGGGTGCACGCACCCCCTGGGGGTGCGAGATGCCCCTTTCTGGGGGGGGTGCAAGACATGGACGGATTTTTTTCGAAGGTAAATCATCAAAAGACGAATTAAGCATGGGCATGTAAGTACAACGACTTTGTTTCATAAAACCCTACGTATGTATTAACACTGTACGATTGAGAACCTAACGGGTGCAAGGCTGTCGTAAAGGTTAAGAACCACTGCATTAAGATGTTATCGGCCAGTTAATGAGGAAACGTGAGAAAATAATTATTTCCATTAATAATGAAAGACAGTGATCATCACGCTCCCCCGCCCACCCCTCGTCCCGACTGCGAAAAACATGGCAGGACCCTCCTGAAATAAAACTGTCATGTGACTCAGGAAAGGCTTTCCATTGGTAAACAAGGCGAGTAATCACAAAAACGAGAAAGCTGCGTGTTTATAAATCATCAGATGCTGCTGCTGCGGCAGTGGTGCACAAGAGTGCGTCAACAACACCACAGCCTTGAAATGGGAAAAATAAATAAATAAAGAAATGTGCAATTGGGCCACAATTTAGGGCAATTTTAAACGTGCAAAGCGATTAAAACGAGCGTAATAACGACCATAACTATAATTAAAATAATTGTCAGGCACGCAGGCAACCACCCACTCACTCATCCACCCACTCACTCATCCACCCACTCACCAACTTACTCACCCACTCCCCTACCTAACGACTCACACACCGACTCAGTCACTTACCCAATCACCCGCCAACCCGCTCACCCGCCAACCCGCTCACCCGCCAACACACTCAACCACTAACCCACCCAACCACACTCACCGACCAACTCACTCACTCACTTACCCGCCCACCCGCCAACCCACTCACCCGCCCACCTACTCACTCGCCCACTCACCAACTCACTCACCTAGTCACCGGCCCACCCGCTCACCCGCCCACCCACGTGCTTACCTACCCAGCCGATAAGCCAGCCACCCACCCGCCTGCCTGCCCGCTCACCCATCCACCCACCCACCCACCTACCCGCTCAATCGCTCACCCACTCACCCACCCACTCACCCACCAACCCAACCACCCGCTCACTCGCTCAACCACCCGTCCGCTCACCCGTCCACACACCCACCCGCCCGCCCACCCGCTCACCCACCCACTCACCCACCAACCCACTCACCCGCTCACTCGCTCACCCACCCGCCCACTCACCCGCCGGTAGTGCGCGGAGAAGGCGCGCCGCCGCAGCGTCTCGGTGGCGGCCAGGCAGTAGAGTCGTGGGGCGAGCGCCACCTCGCGCGCGGCGCCCACGCGGCCCGTGAGCTCGCGCAGCACGTGACACAGCGCCTGCAGCTTCTCGCGGCCCAGGTCGGCGTGGTGCATCACGTAGTAGCACCACCTGCAGACGCCACCGAAGATGCTCCGTCACGCCCGAGGGGGGGGGGCGGGGGGGGTAGGCCGCGACGTTGGCTCAGGGCTTTATTGTCTCGGCTGGCAAGGCCCCGCTGAGCCGAGCAACTCCATTACCCACAGAGCTACACAGAGGGCCATAGAGCTACGTAGAGAGCCACAGAGTTACATAGAGACCCACAGTTACTTTGAGACCTTTGATAATTAATTAGAGAGCCAAAGTTAAGACCCACGGAGTAACACAGAGATCCATAGAGTTACACGGGGACCCATAGTGCTTCATAGAGACCTATAAGGATTGCATAGAGACACAGACTCAAGACACTATCGTTTCAGCCGGCAAGCCCATCCACTCACCCACCCACCCACTCACTTGCCCACCCACGCGCTCACTCTATCACCCGCTCACCCACTCCAGATGGGACGGCAGGGAATATTGAGAAGCGTGACCAACTCACTACAGGTCCGTGGGCGTCGAGCCTCCGCTCACCGCCATCGCCGCCGTTCCAAGTCCGCGGTGGCGCCACCACCGTCACTCACCGCAGGCGCACGTGCAGGTTGTCGGTGAGCTCCTGCTTGGCGGTGGCGCAGCGCTGCTTGACGTCCAGCAGCTTCTTGTGGTTGCTGAGCATGATCACCAGCTGGTTGGCGTGGCTGCGGCACAGGTCTGGCAGGACCGACGGGTCCTTGAGGTTCTCCGCGCGCTTTTGATTCGCCAGGAAGCCCTGCGCCGCAAGCGCGCAAATAAGAGTTTGTCGAACAAGCTGCTGATGGGCACCCCGAAGGTCAAACACCGCCCCCCCCCCCCTACCCTCTACCCACCACCACCACCACCCCCCCCCCACCTCCACCCCAGTGCACCCTACAGTAGTTGGGAATTGAGAGCCTCGTCTCTTCCCGACACGACGGCCATCGCAAGCTTGGTTTAAAAATTTTAAATAGGACCAAAAAAAAAATTACACGGGGGATTGTGGGTAAACCGGTCGCCGTGACGATGGCCCGGTCGCCGTGGGAGAAGGACCGGTCGCCGTGGCTACCTGCGCCAGCTCCTTCTGCTCGGTGACGAGGCGCTGACAGGAGGCGAGCAGCTGGTCGAGCACGAAGAGCCGGTCCTCCAGCCCGCGGATTGACTTCATGCTCGGATTGTCCATCTTGGCCAGAGTTTCCTGGCAGTCGCCCAGGAAGGGCTGCACGATGCCGGGCTCCAGCTGTCGGGCAGCGGTGACCACAGACGCCAATCGTTAAACGCCGTGGTCATCGTCGTCGTCGTCGCCATCATCATACTCATCACCACACATTCTCCTAGCCCTCCCCTCTCATCTCACTCTACTCCCCTCCACGCACTCTCCTACCTCTCCCCTCTCATCTCACTCCACTCCCCTCCACACACTCTCCTACCTCTCCCCTCTCATCTCACTCTACTCCCCTCCCATCTCACTCTACTCCCCTCCACGCTCTCTCCTACCTCTCATCTCACTCTACTCCCCTCCACACACTCTCCTAGCTCTTTCCTCTCATCTCACTCTACTCCCCTCCACGCTCTCTCCTACCTCTCCCCTCTCATCTCACTCCACTCCCCTCCACGCACTCTCCTAGCTCTCTCCTCTCATCTCACTCTACTCCCCTCTCATCTCACTCTACTCCCCTCCACACACTCTCCTACCTCTCCCCTCTCATCTCACTCCACTCCCCTCCACGCACTCTCCTACCTCTCCCCTCTCATCTCACTCTACTCCCCTCCACGTACTCTCCTACCTCTCCCGCACATGAAGCTTGGATTTGAGGCCCTCAACCAGCAACGGATGGACAAATCGGGGCGTGCATGCACACGCGCGCGAACATCGAACACACGCAAGCACACACAAACCCCGCATGCACATGCAACAAAAACATAAAGAGCCCCCATATAGCCTTTAACAGACTGTCGGCGCAAGGTGCTGTCAGCGAGCACCTATAAAGGCTGGCACGGCACACGATGGGGTGGGTGGCCAGCAACCACGCCCGGCCGCCTTTGTCTCCCCAGTGGCGATGTTTACACACTGCACCAGGTACTCATTTGACCTAGGGGAGGCCCAGGACCGGCTTATAGCGCAGTGCTCTAACCGTTACACGCACACGCACACACAACACATACACGCACACAAACCCTTAGAAACACACAGACACACACACAAACCCCAAACCCACATGCACAAATCATTCCACACGTGCGCACACAACACGCACACAACACGCATGCACGCACCTATCGAAACGCACACACAAACCCTTCCCCACGCACACAAGCGCACACACGAAAACCCGCACACACAAACCCTTCCACACGTACGCACGCACACCCAAGCACGCACCCTGCTCATCGACTCGAAGCACTTTCGGACGAGCGTCTCAACATCGTTGGGTCGATCTTGAACGTTCACCCAGTCGAGCAACGACACGTTGAAGCTGCCCTTTATCCGGCCACCGTCGTCATCGTCTCCATCGTCTCCACCGCCGCCCCCGCCGCCCCCGGGGCCCGGCGACAGTCGGCCGTCGTCGGCGCCGCCGCTTGGACATTTCGGAGGCGGCGTCACGGGGCCTTCGGGAGGGGCCGGGCCGGCCCGAGCGGGAGGCCGTCCGGCTGGCCGCGGGCCGGCAGAGGAGGGGAGGTCGGCCGAGAGGCGGCGGGGGTCGGAGCGGTCGGCGAGTCGGCACAGGCTGTCGCGCCGGCGGGACAAGGAGGAGACGGAGGAGACCGAGGCGGTGAGGCACTGGAGCAGCGGGATCTGAGCCATGACGGTGACGGCGTCGCCCAGCCTAGCGCACACACACGCGGGAGAGAGGGGCGGGGGGAGAGAGGGGCGGGGAGAGAGGGGCGGGGAGAGGGGGGCGGGGAGAGAGGGGCGGGGAGAGAGGGGCGGGGAGAGAATCACAACTCGGCACGAATCCAGGAAGGTTGTGTGGGTGCGGCTGAGTGAGTGAATGAATTAGTGAATGAATGAGTGAATGAATGAGTGAATGAATGAGTGAGTGAATGAGTGAATGAATGAGTGAGTGAGTGAGTGAATGAGTGAATGAATGAGTGAGTGAGTGAGTGAATGAATGAGTGAATGAATGAGTGAGTGAATGAGTGAGTGAATGAGTGAATGAATGAGTGAGTGAATGATCCACGCACTCCGAGAGCTGGGAGAGGATGTCGCGGCGTGACTCCAGGAAGGCTGCGTAGGCGCGTGTGAAGGCCGTCAGGAGGCCCGCGAAGGCCGAGCTGCAGTCTTCGAGGTTGGCGGTGACGGCCGACCAGCCCTGGTGCTGCATGTGCTCGTCATGCACCAGCGACTCGCACACCATACACAGCCGCTGCGCCAGCTCCTGCATCTCCTGTGCACGGGCAGCGCCGTGAGGATGTGGGGGGGAAAGGCGGGCGAAGGAAGAGGTGGAGGAGGAGGTGGCGCTGGGAGGGGGAGGAGGAGGTGGGGAAAAAAGGTGGAGGTGGTCGGGGATGTGGCGGGGCAGCAGGAGGAGAGGGTAGGAGGTGGGGAGGAGGAGGTGGAGTTGAGTGTGGGAAAGAGGCAGGTGAATGAGGTTGGGAGGAGGATGGGGAGGAGCAAGAATCCAAGCGGTGAGCCATGACGCAGGTACGTACGCATGGACGATCGTACGCAGGCACACGCACGCAGGCACCACACAGATGTGGGAATCGAAACTCGGATCACCAGATTCATAGCCCCAACTAGCAAGCCGCTGGACCACCACTCCCCACACGCACACACGCACGCACAGACACAAACACACGCACAGGGGACAACAAGCGCATGGTGCGAGCACTGCTGGCGGTGGTGGTGGTGGTGACGGTGGTGGTGGTGGTGGCGGCGGTGGTGGTGGTGTCGGCGGCGATGCGTTACCAGCGCGAGCTGCGTGCGCAGCGTCACGGTGTGGAACACCGCCGGCATGATCACCGACTCCTCCACCTTGGGCTCCATCTGCGCCTCGCCGGGCAGCACCACACGGCTCACGCACGGCGCCCGGTCGTGAAGGATCAGCTCCTTGCTGAACAAGAAGATCGGGTTGGTGTCCTGGGCGAGAGACACACACGGAGGAGACGCGTGGTTCATAAGGGCCATGTCGGAGTCACCGAGCCAGCAAGGTCAGAGAGAGGTTCTCGGTTCGAACCGATCTCTTTATCCCTGGTGGTCATTTTAAAACAATTACGTCAACTCGTAACGATGCGCCGCCGCCGCCGCCGCCGCCACTGCACGGTATCCGTTCCTCGCCCTCGTAGACAGAGAGGACGACTCAGAGGAACCACAGACGAAGCGGGAAGGCAGCCACGAGAAATAGCCGGCGCTACCGACGATTGCCCGAACTCTGCGGTCCTCTATATGTTAAGGTGTTATAGGCCAATTAACGAGGGGTGGTTATTACACGTGTGGGAGGAAACCGGAGCACCCGCATAAAAACCCACGCGTTCGAGCGAGGGGGAAACGCTTTATCCCCATACAGACCGGACAGGTAGGGGTCCACATTTTTGCTTTGCTGCCCTCTCCTGGCAGAGCCGAGGTACGGCTCCTCCTTGACGCCCACCCACGGGGAGTTCCCCAACACAGTGATGCACGCTGCTGGGAGGGACGATGCCCCGTGGTCGATACTAACAACAGGACGATCGAATTGGTGCCTTCGGCGGGAGGCTGCGGAGAATAGAGAAGTGTGTCTGCCTGCCTCCCCCTCGCTTGCTCAAGAGGGTTTATAATGGCCATGTCGGAGATACGAGCAAACAGTGATTCAAGCTCACAGCGCCCCTGGAGTTGTTACTATCATGATGATAATAATTATATATCATAAAGATAACAACAATAATACCTATACAATGATGAAATTAATCATTATCAACGTGATAATAATCACCATCATGGTAATTATATCATAATTAAATTATGATAATAATAATAATAATGCAAATCACCAGGGGCAGAACAACAATTCTAATGGCAACGGCCGCCACACACCACTGAGTGATCGTGAAGTCACCACAGCACTCGTGCCAGGCTAGATGCACACGCCGACCACACATACACACAAAAGACAAACACAAAGAGCCTCCGTATAGCCTTAACAGACCGTTGGGGCAAGTGCTGTCAGCGAGTAGCACCTATGAAAGCCGGCACGGCACACGAGGGCGTGGGTGGCCAGCACCACGCCCGGCCGCCTTTGTCTCCCCAGTGACAATGTTTACACACCGCACCAGGTACTCGTTTGAAGCAGAGTCGACCTAGGGGAGGCCCAGGACCGATTTAGATAATCGTCACTGGTGTTGGCCGTGAGCGGGAATCGAACCCGGGCTGCCGGATTCATTGCGCACTCCACTCCCCCCTCATCTCACCCCACTCCCCCATCTTACCCAACTCTCCTCTCATCTCACCCCACTCTAATCTCACCCCACTCCCCCCTCATCTCACCCCACTCCCCCATCTTACCCAACTCTCCTCTCATCTCACCCCACTCCCCTCTAATCTCACCCCACTCCCCCCTCATCTCACCCCACTGCCCTCTCATCTCACCCCACTGCCCTCTCATCTCACCCCACTCCCCCCTCATCTCACCCCACTCCTCACTCATCTCACCCAACTCCCCTCTCATCTCACCCGACTCCCCCATCTTACCCAACTCTCCTCTCATCTCACCCCACTCCCCTCTAATCTCACCCCACTCCCCCATCTTACCCAACTCTCCTCTCATCTCACCCCACTCCCCTCTAATCTCACCCCACTCCCCCCTCATCTCACCCCACTGCCCTCTCATCTCACCCCACTGCCCTCTCATCTCACCCCACTCCCCCCTCATCTCACGCTACTCACATCCACGTGCTCTCCTACCTCTCCCCTCTAACCTCAGTCTACTCCCTTCCATTACACTCTCCAAACACAGATAAGTGTTGTAACCTGCAGTATGGTGAGTGAGTGAGCGGGTGAGTGAGCGGGTGAGTGCGCGAGTGAGTGAGTGAGTGAAAACAAAAGAGTGGGTGATAGCGTGAGCAGGTGAGGGAGCGAGTGAGTAAGTGAGCGGGTGGGCGAGATGGTGAGCGAGTGTATTATTGTGACCTGCAGTGGATCGACTAAGGGCGGTAGGTTATGTTGACATGGCGCCCGCTAAACCAATGACACATACAAGCTGGCCAAATAGCACGACAAGAAGATCGGCGGCTTCATCAGCGTCACGAGCCATGTTCAATCCACTGCTGGATAAAGGCCTCCCCTAAACCAGTCGCCATCTCTCGCCGTCTGGAGACGCAACCCTCCACCTCGGCCCGGCAGCACACGCCGATTTACGTCACTCCATCTCCGCAGGGGACGTCTTCTTACAGGGCGAGAGTCACCCCCTTTGGCTGCTACTCCACCGTTAGCCTCGCCCACTGACCATCGTCCCAATGAGCGCCCCGTCCTGCCCAAGCCCACCTACGCTTCTCGACAATCAACATGACGTTCTGGAATGCACGTGCTCCTCTACTTCATTCCCTCTCTCTACACCTTCTAACTATTCGCTTCACGTTTCCCTCCCCCCCCCCCCTTCTCCGAAAGCAAACCGATCGCGCGACGGCACAACCGCGCTCGCCCCGAGTAAAGTCGACGAAAAAGGCGAAGGGAGGAACCTTCTGGGGGACTCCTCCTCCACACAGCAGCAGCCTCCGCTGCCCCTCCTCACTCGCTCGGACGCTCGGTGCAAAGTGTCAATGAGCAGGTGGCGTCTATAAGTGGCAACTTTTTAAATAAACAACCGCGCAGAGCGGAGGCTCGCATTGCCCGACCTGCAAACAAAAACGCAGCAGCAGCAGCAGCAGCAGTCGCACAGGAACCGGGGGAGGTGATGATGGCGGTGACAGTGACGGTGAGGACAGCGGCGTTGACGGTGACAGTGACGGCGACGATGGTGGCGTTGACGGTGACGGTGGCGGTAACGGGGGTGGCAACGGTGACAGCACGTGATGACGGTGGCGGTGGTGACAGTGGCGGTGATGGTTTGCGGTTCTGGGCACGAGCGGATTTCATAGCTCCGTCTCCACGGTGGACGCCCTCTGTCGGGCGCCCTCTGGTGACCCCTGTTGTGTGACCTTCCGCTCCGTCGTTAAGTCTCGCCCCACCGGCCATCGTCATCCCCCCACGGCCCCCCCCCCCCCGTCCCCCCTCCGCCATCCCACGCCCCCTCGCCCACAAGCTTCTGGTCAGATGTCGACGATTCCTTTCACATTTCTTCGTAAACAAAAACAACACACAGTGCACGACCCCATCCCACCCCCGCCCTAACGTGACCTTGCAAAGACAAAGATCCAGCGTGGTAGCCTCCACAGGCCGCAGCAGCAAAGTGTTCAATAGTCAGCAGCTCTGAACCTCCAAGCCACCCCGGTCAACTCCCCAAATACAAATACACCGGTCTCACGACACGGTGTATGCAGCACCACCAGACTGCAATCACGATGATAACAATAATAATAATAGGTCGAACTGAGGTATCCTGGTTCACCGGGCAGCGGACAAACCACAACGCCACCACTCCACCCCCACAACTGGAATATGGTTGTGCCACAGGCACGGGGAGGGGAGCGGATTCGATGTCAAAATCGGCAGCAACAGCTTCAGAGCTGGTGCCACACCTGAGCCATCAGTTGTGCAACCAAAACCATCGGCTCCTCTCGAAATGACCGCACGGAGTTATCATCGCCTGGCGCATTTCGTTGATTGTGACGACCAGTCAAGAATTAGTTTAACAAGTGGGCTTTCGGGACCAATATTATTCATAATAAAGGTTTTTTTGGGTTAGATCGCGTTTATTTATAAATGTGTCGTAACCCTCCACCACCCGACACGGCCAATCAGCAAAAAAAAAAGTGTCACGTTGACAAAAGACAAATAATTCACTACTTTAGCCCACCGGAGTGTTGAAGAGTGAATCCACAACATTTACAGTTTGAGTACGACGTTTCGCTGGTAAACACATCCAGCGTCATCGGGCAATTCGCCAGAATGGTAAAGCCCTCGCTTGCTCCCGGTTTTATATAGAGCAGCAGGGTGACGTCATCACCTAACTCATATCAGGTGCATCCACTCATTAATTGGCTTAAAACAACTTAATACGTAGAGGACAACGGAGTTTGGGCGACCGTTGGCGGCACTGGCTCACCGCCGCTTGGTGGTGACCGCCGCCGTTCCCCGGCATTGTTCTGTGCATCCCCGGCAATTGTGACAAGATGCAATTTTGCACGAACGACAACGGCGCGATGTATAAAGCTAAAGAATTGTTGTTGTTGTTGTTATTATCATCATATATTTGCGAGTCACCAAACATTGTCATTATTAAGACGATACACGACATTATAAATCGGCGGGCGGATCGACGCACGAAAGCAGTCGCGGCGAATAAACTCCACACGCTCGTCAATACAGTGAGGGAAAAAAAGTATTTGATCCCCCGCTGATTTTGTACGATTGCCCACTGACAAAGAAATGATCAGTCTATAATTTTAATGGTAGGTTTATTTGAACAGTGAGAGACAGAATAACAACAAAAAAATACGGAAAAACGCATGTCAAAAAATGTTATAAATTGATTTGCATTTTAATGAGGGAAATAGTATTTGACCCCTCTGCAAAACATGACTTAGTACTTGGTGGCAAAACCCCTGTTGGCAATCACAGAGGTCAGACGTTTCTTGTAGTTGGCCACCAGGTATGCACACATCTCAGGAGGGATTGTGTCCCACTCGTCTTTCCAGATCTTCTCCAAGTCATTAAGGTTTCGAGGCTGACGTTTGGCAACTCGAACCTTCAGCTCCATCCACAGATTTTCTATGGGATTAAGGTCTAGAGACTGGCTAGGCCACTCCAGGACCTTAATGTGCTTCTTCTTGAGCCACTCCTTTGTTGCCTTGGCCGTGTGTTTTGGGTCATTGTCATGCTGGAATACCCATCCACGACCCATTTTCAATGCCCTGGCTGAGGGAAGGAGGTTCTCACCCAAGATTTGACGGTATATGGCCCCGTCCATCGTCCCTTTGATGCGGTGAAGGTGTCCTGTCCCCTTAGCAGAAAAACACCCCCAAAGCATAATGTTTCCACCTCCATGTTTGACGGTGGGGATGGTGTTCTTGGGGTCATAGGCAGCATTCCTCCTCCTCCAAACACGGCGAGTTGAGTTTATGCCAAAGAGCTCCATTTTGGTCTCATCTGACCACAACACTTTCACCCAGTTGTCCTCTGAATCATTCAGATGTTCATTGGCAAACTTCAGACGGCCATGTATATGTGCTTTCTTGAGCAGGGGGACCTTGCGGGCGCTGCAGGATTTCAGTCCTTCACGGCGTAGTGTGTTACCAATTGTTTTCTTGGTGACTATGGTCCCAGCTGCCTTGAGATCATTGCCAAGATCCTCCCGTGTAGTTCTGAGCTGATTCCTCACCGTTCTTATGATCATTGCAACTCCACGAGGTGAGATCTTGCATGGAGCCCCAGGCCGAGGGAGATTGACAGTTCTTTTGTGTTTCTTCCATTTGCGAATAATCTCACCAACTGTTATCACCTTCTCACCAAGCTGCTTGGCAATGGTTTTGTAGCCCATTCCAGTATTGTGTAGGTCTACAATCTTGTCCCTGACATCCTTGGAGAGCTCTTTGGTCTTGGCCATGGCAGAGAGTTTGGAATCTGATTGATTGATTGCTTCTGTGGACAGGTGTCTTTTATACCGGTAACAAGCTGAGATTAGGAGCACTCCCTTTAAGAGTGTGCTCCTAATCTCAGCTCGTTACCTGTATAAAAGACACCTGGGAGCCAGAAATCTTTCTGATTGAGAGGGGGTCAAATACTTATTTCCCTCATTAAAATGCAAATCAATTTATAACATTTTTGACATGCGTTTTTCTGGATTTTTTTGTTGTTATTCTGTCTCTCACTGTTCAAATAAACCTACCATTAAAATTATATACTGATAATTTCTTTGTCAGTGGACAAACGTACAAAATCAGCAGGGGATCAAACACTTTTTTTCCCTCACCGTAACACCGCGGCCTTGCGAGGACTTGTCCACAACGGGCGACGTTTCGGGCAAAGTGGCCCTTTTCACGGTGCACAGAGAGGGAGAGGCGCCAGAGAGGCCGAGCGGAGAATACATTTTGCTTGAGGGGCAGAGTTTGTCGCCTAAACGCCTTGCGAGCAAACCGGCTGCTCAACGGCTCGCAAAACCGATGGCTCGCGCGGGCGATTCAGTTGCGTGCAGCCGACCCCGCCGCGGCGCGGAGATGCTTCTCTTCCGTACCGTTCCTGCGCTGTAGCTGCACACCCTCCGATCGCCCGCCAGGCACTCGCCGCCGCTCACCACCAGCACCTGGTGCTGAACCCCGACGCGGTACTTGGTCTGGATGGCCTGTCTCAACTCCGCCACGCTGCAATGCAACACAAATGTTGTACTAGATTAGAACGAAACAGTTGCTTTCTCTGGCTGCATTTAAACCCGGATTCCTGGATTCCTGGCTGGCTGGCTGTCTGTCTGTCGCACGGCCAAGTGCGAGTGCTCGGTGGTGACATCACCGAGCGCGATGACTTCACTCACATCACCCCCCCCACCTCCCCTCCACCCCGGCCGCGAATCATATCATATACTAAATGGAAAAAACAGTTTTGCTTGGTAGCTGGGTGGGTGAAGTGGGAAGGGAGGGGGGAGGAGCGGAGGGAGGGTCACGTTACGTCCAAGGGACGTGCGTGCAAGGCTGCTAGTACATTTTGTATAATCACGTCTAGATGCAACTGCATCTCCACAGACTACGCTGGGGGGGGGGGGGTGTGGGGGGTGGGGGGGGACAAAATAACAAAACTTAAAATTACGGTTTCGGTCTCGACTTGAACAAAGGGTGGCAGCAGAGTCTCAACCGCACACAGTTCAAGAGCAAATTAATTCCAGACTGCAGGAGCAGCAGCCGAGAAGGAGCGACCTCCTCCCATGGAACCAAGATTGATGGCTGTGGGCGGCTTTGCGAGTAGGAGGCGGCCTCTAATGCTGCTGGAACGGAGATAACGTCCTGAAGAATAGCATGAGATGAGAGGGGAGAGGTAGGAGGGAGTGTGGGGGGGGGGGGAGTAGAAAGAGATGAGAGCGGAGCGGTAGGAGAGTGTGTGGAGGGGAGTGGAGTGAGATGAGAGGTAGGAGAGTATGTGGATGGGAGTAGAGTGAGATGAGCTGGGAGAGGTAGGAGAGTGTGTGGAGGGGAGTGGAGTGAGATGAGAGGTAGGAGAGTATGTGGATGGGAGTAGAGTGAGATGAGTTGGGAGCGGTAGGAGAGTGTGTGGAGGGGAGTAGAGAGAGATGAGAGAGGAGAGCTTGGAGATCGCAAGGGGTGACCAGCCCCCCAAGCCCCCCCCCCCTCCATTCTGTTTTGCGTTTAACGTGTTTAGAATTTAACATTGGCTGTGTCGTGCCCCCCCCGCTCCGCTGAGTTTCTCTATGATGCCCCCCTCTTTTTTTAAACTGGGTTCACGCTACGGCGGCATTTGCCGTGTGTCGGACCCGGCTGCCCGTCACGGGTTTGAAGTTTTCTGCAACGTGGGCAGAACAGAATCCAAAGTGAGTGCGCAAGCTGTGTTGAGGAATTGGCAAGAAGAACTTTGGCAACTGACTACATAATACATAACATACGTAATACTGGGCCATGGAGATGGCTATGCACGTGGCCTGTAGCCCAGCACTGTGGAGGCAACAGGGAGGGTCGGCGGATCACCGCACAGATGTTGTGGAACTCCCTTCCCAGGCGCGTCGAGGAGGTGCCATTCCGCTGTCTCGCCAGGAGAAGGCGGTAGAGGGAGCGGACTAATCTCCATCTGTTTCCATCTGTATGGGGATGGAGTGTTTCCCCCCCTGGGACTTGTGGGTTTTCTCCCTGTGCTCTGATTTCCTCCCACACACTTGCGTTGCGCTTCCAGACTGAAAGAATAAGTACTCGTCATAAAGTGGCTGAAAACATCTTAAAATTAAAAAAAAAGCAATGCTACACTCTCCTGATAAAGACCACTCTGGAGTCAGTGTGACTTTTCAGGACAAATAAGTAAATTATTAACGTTAATATTTGGTGGTCAAACCCAAGAACAAATCTGGATCAGGCTTGGATTGGCGTGTTAGCGTGTTAGCGTGTGTGCGCGATCGTGTACATACAAGTGTGTAAGAGTTTGCGTGTGTAGTGTAGCGGATAGCGAGCTGCACTACGAACCCAGCAACACGAGTTCGATTCCCGCTCACAGCCAACACCAGTGACGATTATCTGAACCTGTCTTGGGCCTCCCCAAGATCTAATCAACCTCAAATGAGCACCTAGTGTGGTGTGTAAACTTCGCCACAAGGGAGACAAAGGCCGCCGAGCGTGGCGCTGGCCACCTACCGCCTCGTGCGCCGTGTCGGCCTTCATAGGTGCTCGCTAACAGCACTTGCCCCGACAGTCTGTTACAAGCTATACGGGGTAACCTTTGTCTTCATGTAAGAATCTGAGCATACACGCTTTTGCGAGCGCTTATTCGCGAGTGTGTTACACTCCTGCGTGTACAAAGCTGATGGAATTTTTTCACGTTAGGCAACGTCTCTCAGGGTAAGCAATGGCTCCTTCGCTTCCGTTTTGCAGCACAGTTTCACATTATTCAGCCATTAAGCTAAGTCGCGGCTCCAGGTCCTGAATCATTCATGAAGTAGAGGCCGGAAGCACCGACCCCTGCCCTCCCCTCTAGCCTGGGCGGTTTAGCCCAGGGAGTCGCGCCAAGAGGATTTAGGCAAGGAGAGGCACCTGCTCGGCCTATGAATCAAAAATTATTTTGGCATGTTCGGTAAGCAGTGGGTGTACCCACACTTTACCCCACCGCACGCGACCTGCAAATCAGCTCCGGTGAATCCATTTATACTGCTCAGTGGATAGAGGTGGGGAGGGGGGGGGATCTAAGAGGCGTGGAACGTTGGTTCAACTGTCGCTCCGGGAGACGGAATCGATCCGGCAACCTCTGGATCGCAAGTCCAGTCCGCTGACCATTACACCATGGGAGCATTCCAGATAAGAGAAAAAAATAACAAAACATTACAAAGGTGAAATGTTTAATTTCCCTACCTACGAAAGACCCATTCGGTTTTATGATGAAGCGCCTCATTTCCATCACGAGCGGAAGAAATACAGCTACGGTGAACCGGTTTGCCATGAGGACTATGTGACCCCGTTCAACCAATCAGAACGCACTTGGCTTGTGAAAGAAAATGTTTTGAAGACTTTTGAATAAAAGTTGCTCTGTATTGCCCATCTACATACTCTGTGTAGCAGCCCACATTACTGAACAAAGCAACATTGGCACCAATTGTGTTCTAAAACATCACATTGCACTGCATCGCTTAATTTCCATCTTAAGCGCGTGTGCATGATGTGACTATGTGTTGAAGCGCGTGTGTGCCCGTGTCTGTGTGTCTATGTGTGGGGAGCGGTAGTGTGGAGGCTAGCGCACTGCAATACGAAGCCAGTGACCCGAGTTTGATTCCTTCTCACGGCCAACACCAGTGACGATTATCTGAACCGGTCATGCGCCTCCACTAGATCGACTCGGCCTCAAATTATTTCCCAGTGCATTGTACAAAAACATCACCACTGCAAAGGCAAAGGCAGCCGGGTGTGGTGCTGGTCTCCCACCTCCTCCTTGTGTGGTGTACCGATCTTCATAGGTGCTCACTAACAACACTTGACCCGAAAGTTGCGTTCAAGGATATACGGTGAGGTGGTGGGGGTCCATGTTTTTTGTGCGAGCGAGTGTGCGGGGCATACGTTTGGAGTGCCAGCTCGGTGTCGAAGGTGAGGGTGGCACCCGTGTTCACCAGGAACACAAACAGCTTCATGTTTGGTTCCTACAGCCGTGAGTGCCGCCCGTGAGTCCAAATACAGCCGCTCACGATCGCGTCGCTTCCTCCGCCAGTACCTGGGTCGCGTGAGACAGAGGATTCATAACGGCCAATGTTAGAACCGCCGAGCTGGTACAATGGAGATCGAGCCTCGGACTCGATCTCCCTCTTTCAGGTGGCCCATTATGGCCGTGGCACAGCCACTCAGCAGGCACAGCAGAGAAACTGGGTTCAGGTTGTCCATAATGGGTCCTTATCATCTACGATTCACACATAGACAATTACATGCACAGGGTTACAGCAAACACGGGTTTCTGTACAGCTAAACCCCCACGTCCCTCAGCTCCAAAGCCTAAAATTATTTTCCCCAAAACTCCTGGGTTCCCAGATCCTAATCATATACAGGGTACCTTGTTCTGCATCCTTGATTCCAGGATCCAGGTCCCAGATCTCAACTCCCACTGCCCTACCCAAGCACCAGGTCCCAGCGCCCTAATTCAGGAGTACAAGGCCTCGATTATGCGGGACGTAGTTACTGTACCAGCAAAACGTCACAGTACTCATTTTGTAAATGTTGTGGATTTAATCTATCAACACACCGGTTGGCTGAAGTAGTAACTTAGTGCCACGTTTTGTTTAGGTTACAAACCTCACTAATTGGCTGTGTCGGGTGGCGGTGGGTTAACAACACATTTACACTTATGTGATCTAACCCAAAAAAAGCTTTGTGATGAATAATTATGATGAATAATGGCGAAAGCCTACTACGTGTCAAAGAGAGTACAAGGTCTCTCTCTAATCTCCATGCTCTGTGATATTGGTCTCACATGAAGAGTCCTAAGGTACTGATCACAAGGACCCTAGCTATTCCCAGCTCCGAGGTTCCATTCCAGCTCCCGAGACGAGAGTTCCTCGTCGTAGATCCCAGCACCTTAATGGGTCCGAGCATTCCAGGTCTCAAGAGCCTCGTCCAGACAGTGCCGGATTAAGCTAGTGTGGGGCCTGTAGCATATGTTATAAAGGGGCCCTAAATAAAAAAAGCACATCAATATTAAAACACACATTTTTTTACTTGCATAGTAAAGTAAATTTTTAAAAAATCATCTTCTATACGCCAGATAATACGACAAATCGCTAACCGTAAACATCCAGTCGTTCGTAAAAGTTGAAGGCAGTATAGTACTATAGTAATAGAGCAAGTGCAGAATCACTGAACCGGAATTGATAGCTTGAAAGTGCGGAGCCCGTAGCATATGTAGCTACTTGTGCTGCTAGGAAAATCCGGCACTGAGTCCAGGGTTTCTGTTCCGGAGTGTAATAAAAATACTGGTGCCGGTTTTCCAAGATCTTGGTTCCAGATCCAAGCTTAGGTTCCCCAGTTTATCGGTTTTTCCAGGTCTCAGTTTTCCAGGGCCCTGCTCCTGGTTTTCCAAGTCTACGGTTACCCAAGTTCCATATTACTCACTGGTCCCAGATCCCGGATCCACAATTTCCAGTTTCCCAAGTCGCTGACCCCAAATCCAGAATTCCACAGGATCCTCCCCGATTCCTAGATTCCAGAAGCATAGTAGTCCCCCGTCTCCAAAGCCTCGTTGTCCCACGTTTCACAGTAACCCAATCCCTGATTCCATTCCCCCCCCCCCCCGCCTCCCCCCAATAGTCTCTGGTCACTGGGTCCCCTGACCCAAGGACCTGGTACCCCCACGCCAGGTCTTGGTTTGCCTGGTGCCCCGTTGTTTCCCAGGTACCGGATTGAAAGACAACAACAACAACTCTCGGCCTCGGCGGCCCAAAGGCCCCAGTGACATCAGCATCAGCTGTTACTCCGCGTGTTACGCAACCCTCAACAACAACAACAAACCCAACAACCACCAGGGCATCAACAACAATACCAGCACCGCCACAAATACTACAACACCACCGTTACAAATTAATCGCCACTGTCATTTCAACAACAAGCACCCACCGAGACTAGTGACAACAAAGAGGGATGGTGGGGTCGGTGTGTGTGTGTGTCGGGGGGGATCGAGCAGCAGGCCTCGGTGAGTGTTGACGCCCCTACCGGGCACCTCGCGCCTCCGCCGGTAGGGCATCTATCCGAGCACCCTTGATTCGCGCTTCGGGCCTCGCCGATTAGAAACAAAAACATGACAGACACAGAGAGAGAGAGAGCCGTGTTCTGGCCGTCACGTTCTGTGGGGGGCCGGGAAAGGCAGGCGGGGGGCCGGGTAAAGCAGGCGGGGGGCCGAGCCCCTTCCACCCACCACACACACAGCCAGCCCCATCGACGTTCCGCGACGCGTCCCTTACCCGTGGCGCCGAGCAGGCGGTTGGCTTGCGGAGCGACGAGGCCATGAGCGCGGCTCTCAATCGGCGTCGCGTGAATCGTCGAGCGGGCCGGGGGGGGGGGCAAGCGGGGGGCGGGGTCGTGGGGGGGGGTCCACCACCTCCCGGCGTGAGTTGTGGCCATCAGGGGGCAGTGTTGTGCCTCTGTCTTCAGTGTTGCGATGTTGATTGTTTTACGCTTATGTATAAACACGATTTTTTTTTGTGTTCCTGCGTAGTAAAGGCGTTCTTTTCTAATTGCTTATGCCTCACAAGTGTTATAAAAATGGCTAGTATCGCCCCCCGCACACTTTGCTTTCGTGACCAGGACTTTTGTGCGAAGGAATGACGCAAATGCACACACCGCGTTTTCTCACTGGACATAGGTAAAATTTAAAAATATCACTGTCCTGCTCCTCACTGGACATAGGTAAAATTTAAAAATATCACTGTCCTGCTCACAAAGGTAAAGTTTGTGGGGAATAATAGCCGTTTTTTTCTACACTTTTGAGGCATAAGCAATTAGAAAATAACACTTACTACCCAGAACCCCCCCCCCCCCCCCCCAAAAAAAAAAGTTGTTACACAATGTTACGTGTCAACATCATCGCCAACACTGGGTGGGAGGAGGGGCGTGGGGGAGACAAAGGCGGCCGGGCGTGGTGCTGGCCACCCACCCACCCTCTGCTGCTGCTGCTCGCTAACAGCTACTTGCATTTAAGTTTGTTGAATGCAATACGGGGAGGTTGGTGAGGGAGTCTTTGTCTTGACATAGATGTCAACCCATTGTTAGTGCCCTACCTTATTACAAACCAATTCAGACATTATTGGTCACCCCGTGCCCCCTTATAAAGCTCAACGTTCATCCTACAAAGTCCCATCGCAAGGGAGAAACACAAACACATAGACACTTTTTTTTGCATTGTATTGAAACGGCTGTACGCCGTATGGACCTGAAAACTATATTTGTCTGTACGAGAATACGGGGTAAACCGTATGGGTTGACAGGGATGCTGTCCCTATCACTATCCCTAGCACTATCCCTATCACAATCCCTATCACTATCCCTAGCACTATCCCTAGCACTATCCCTATCACTATCCCTATCACTATCCCTAGCACTATCCCTATCACTATCCCTATCCCTAGCACTATCCCTATCACTATCCCTAGCACTATCCCTATCTGACACGCCTGTCAACCCCTTATCAGTGCCCTACCTTATTACAAACCAATTCAGACCGTATTGGTCACCCCGTGCCCCTTATAAATCTCAACGTTCATCCTACAAAGTCCCATCACAAGGGGGAACACACAAACACATAAACAAACACGTGAATGCACATTGGAGCACACTGCACAGAGTTACAAACTTCTGCAAACCTTGCACTTTACACACACACAGAGAGCATTACAATGTACAGAGAGCTACTACTGACTTGCATACCACTGGGATTTTTGCACACAGCGTTGGTGTACGGTGCTATTTCAGGAATATTTTGATGTGTTTTTTCCTGGATTTTCTGTTTGCACTATCCCTAGCACTATCCCTAGCACTATCACTATCCCTAGCACTATCCCTATCACTATCCCTAGCACTATCCCTATCACTATCCCTAGCACTACCCCTATCACTATCCCTAGCACTATCCCTAGCACTGTCCCTAGCACTATCCCTATCTGACACGCCTGTCAACCCCTTATCAGTGCCCTACCTTATTACAAACCAATTCAGACCTTATTGGTCACCCCGTGCCCCTTATAAATCTCAACGTTCATCCTACAAAGTCCCATCACAAGGGGGAACACACAAACACATAGACAAACACGTCAATGCACATTGGAGCACACTGCACAGAGTTACAAACTTCTGCAAACCTTGCACTTTACACACACACACAGAGAGCATTACAATGTACAGAGAGCTACTACTTACTTGCATACCACTGGGATTTTTGCACACAGCGTTGGTGTACGGTGCTATTTCAGGAATATTTTGATGTGTTTTTCCTGGATATTCTGTTTGCACTATCCCTAGCACTATCCCTAGCACTATCACTATCCCTAGCACTATCCCTAGCACTATCCCTATCACTATCCCTAGCACTATCCCTAGCACTATCACTATCCCTAGCACTATCCCTAGCACTATCCCTATCACTATCCCTAGCACTATCCCTATCACTATCCCTAGCACTATCCCTATCACTATCCCTAGCACTACCCCTATCTGACACGCCTGTCAACCTCTTATCAGTGCCCTACCTTATTACAAACCAATTCAGACCTTGTTGGTCACCCCGTGCCCCCTTATAAATCTCAACGTTCATCGTACAAAGTCCCATCACAAGGGAGAACACACAAACACATAGACAAACACATTTTTTTGGCCCGTATTGAAACGGCTGTACGCCACACGCATGGACCAGGAAAATTGAATTTACCTGTTCAAGAATGACGAGGTGAACCGCATGGATTGACAGTGATGTCTTTATAGTGTCCTGCCACTATCCAAAAGCCACCAGGGACCAACACTCAGTGGAAGAGGCAGGCGAGGGGAGTGGGTCCAATGTTATTGTTGGAAGGAAAGCGAAGATTCACGTGGTTCATCAGAAAACATTATTTTTAATCTTCATTTAAAGCTTTCGTGACTGCAGGAATCCATACCCTTGGGTTCTTTAGGTAAAGTCACGTGGGTATAAAATGAAATAAATCACGTTTCGCACCTGATGACGGACGCTTGTGTTGCGCCCTAAACGTCGTGATTTATTTTGTTTTATACCTACGTGACTTTCCCGAAAGAACCAAGGGGTATTATTTGAAATGTTCATTCTCGTGAAGGCCCACAACGGGGTGTTAAACGCGTGCGGCCTTTATCATCTTCGCCGTTCACTCGGTGCGTTCATGGCCACCTCCGGACCACGTAAGTAGACCCATAGAGGACCCATAATAGAGACCCGTCGAGAAACATTAAAGACAAGTCACTGCTCCTCACATAAACAACCCCCCCCCGCCCCTACCGTGTAGCCTCAACAAGACTGTTGGGGCAAGTGCTGTTAGCGAGCAGCACCTATTGAAGGCCGGCACGGTAACACGAGGGGGTGGGTGGCCAGCACCACGCCCGACCGCCTTTGTCTCCCCAGTGGCGATATGCTTTTACACACCGCACCGGGTACTCGTTTGAGGCTGAGTCGACCTAGGTGAGGCCCAGAACCGGTTCAGATAATCGTCACCGGTGCAGGTGGCCGCAGCGCAGCGATAACCACCCTACTGCCACCGCTCACGGTCACAATCACAACATTAATCACAAACAGCTTGGAACATATTGCCACAGGCAAGAAAATAAATTATAATGTAATACTGTGATGAGGTATTGACGATGATGATGCTGCTGATCGGAAACCACGAAACAATAGCTGGAGAGTGGTACAAATAAGCATGAGGTGGTGCATTGTTGGAATTAAACTGAGAGACGGGCGACGTTGGCCTACGCATGTGCCCTGCAATCCATAACTGTGGAAGTAGTGGCGAGGGTTTTTTGGACGACGAGGAAGAGCCTGTACCCTGGCGCGCCAGAAGAGTGCGATACAGCAAAGTGTTGACTGATATCAACATCTGTTCTTTCTGTACAGGATCTCGGGTGTTTCCCCCTCGCATTTTCTCCAGGTGCACGGGGTTTCTTGCACGTGCTTAAACGCCCGTTGCAGTGCCTGAAAACATCTTAATAGAGAGAGGACCGTGGAGCTCGGCCAATCGTTGGTAGTGCTGGCTGACCGCCTGGCCGCTGCTGCTACTGCTTTCCAACTTACGTGTGGTTACTCAGCGACAGCGAGAGATTCAATTTGCATGAATGACGACGCGATATATATTTTTAAAAACGCTATCATTTTTTTATTACTAATACTACTCCGACAATATTAAAGAAGAATACGTGGATTGGAAGAATAAGTGGAGCGGGACGCCATCGCGAGAAAGGCCGATGATGACCGCTGGGTCGAGACGAACGACGGAGCGGCAAACGAAGGTGGAGGATGAAGCGACAGAGAGGGCATCATCCCGCGTGCAGCTGGAGGCAAGATGAACCCGGCTCCTGTGCTGGGTGGCACCGTGAGGGGATCGCGATGGCTTTGGGAGGCGCTTCAAAGTCCACGACGAAGATAACGATGATGATAATTAGACTTTACATTTCACCTGGGAGAATCCAATGAGCTATGAAGCTCGTATTTTCACACATGTTCCAGTCGGGGCGGATCAGCGAGTTGCGTCAACAACAAACGATTAGAGAAAAACGATATAAGTGCAAAGAGGTAAGGAAGTCGCTAAGAATAAATGTATTTACAAAGAATCGGAGTATAAATTGCAGAAGTATATACATTTACTGCCGATTTGTCAACACCAAATGCAAGCTTTGGCAGGGCAGAAAAACAACATCAACAACAACAGTCCCAGATCACACCAAGACAACAACACACAGTAGTCCCTCAATTACCTTGCCGCATTAAAGTTGAACTATTCATACAGGAACAAAGTTACAAATCCCATTGGCAAATGTGGATGTATCCGGCACTATTAATGAATCAAGCCCCACGGTAAAACACGAATAGAATGGTAATGAGTGCTGTTCATGATGCACTGCATTATCCGGATTATAGGACGCATCCCAGATTCATCCTTTAATATGCACTACGCCATTAGACGGAGACAATGGGAATGCAATGTTGGGGTATGTTATTTTTGTTTTCTTTCTATTACATACAAGTCTATATCGCAGGTTGAGAAAGCGTGCAATGTACGGATATGAGCCACGTGTCCCGATGGCGAAACACGCCATACACATCACTCAGTTGGGATCACAGGCAGGAGAAACATCGCTCCCCCCCTTCTGCGCAAAACTTGGCAGGACTCTCATATAAAGTCTTGAGACTCAGCGAGGATTTCCTGGATAAACGAGCGTGATCATAATAATAAATACATAAATATATTTGAAAAAAATAATAGGTTTTACTCTTTCTGGCAATAAAACAGGTATTAAGATGTTCAACCACAAAATATAAACCTTTTGCACGAAATCAAGTTCGCATTATG